AAAAAGAAAAAAAGAAAAAAAGAAAAAAAGAAGTAACACTGCCATTCGTTTTCCTTTTTTTTTTTGTTATTCTTGCATATGGAGCAGTGCAGCGAGGCCCATTGACCTAAAGCTGTAAATAGACAGAAGTGGCGTCCCGATTCAGTATACTGCAGACAATATTGCAGACAATGGTGTCCTGTCAACGCGCGGTGACAGCTGACAGACAATCTGCAAATCGTAGTGAAGAGTGTCAGCATACAAGACGAGACAGGTAGGCACGCCCTTTTTCGCGGACGAAGACAAGGCCGTCGATCCCAAAATCCATCGATGAACGCTCGCGCTCGCCCGTGCCACACATTATCAAAAAAACTACAACTACACGGTAAGAGAGTGGGACCCCGGTCCGGAAATATCACTCCCATACATTCATAACGAGGGCGACGTTTTTAATCGTATCGTGAGTAGTGTGGCGAGCCCCAATGACGGACGGTATCAGGACGGAAATATAGGTCGCATACATTCATAATGAGGGTGCGTTGTGCTCGGGGGAGGACGGTTGCCAAGTGCCAAGTGATCGAACGACAACACCAAATGCGTAGAGAATGGAGAACGTATGTTCACCCCAAAATGTGGAAAGATACACAGGCCATAGCTTTTGTCTTTTTCAAATTTGAGCGGTGCGGCAAGGCGCGGGGACGGCGGCAAGGGAAGGCGGGTTCGCCGGAGGCTCACGCACGGTCGAACTGGTAGTAGGCGGACACAAGCCGAGTAGAAAACATCGAACAGCAATCATCTTGTTAGGGCGGCAGGCAGGCAGAGCTTCGCAGAACGTATCCGGCTTTCCACTAGAGGGGAAAAAGTTTCGAGAGAATACGGGCAAACGAAGGTTGGGTATGTGCAAGTTCAGTGCAACCAACGCTTTATAGTAGTAGGGCTAGGGCGAGAAAAGGAAGACTGGTTCTGGGCAGAGAAGATCCGAGAGCACGCCGCGGGCATCTGATGATAGTAGTAGTTTACTGGAATTGAAAGCTGGTAGAAGTCGAAGAAAGAGAGAGAGGGACGAAAAGCGCTGAAGCTGGTTGGACTGAACGCTGTGTCCATCGGAAAGTGAGTGGTGAGGGCGGCGGTAGAGTGCATCCAAGCGGGGTGGGAAAAGCGGTCATATACGTTCGCGAAAGTCCCAGTGTGAGAGTACGCCCTGATGTTCAGCAGTACCGGTTTACTATGGCTATTGAGACCCATTGAACGAGCACTGTGAACTGGTTGCAAGCGTCGTGATCGGGAAGGTGACTCATCGCGTGACGTGCCGTGGTTGGGCTTGTGGTCGGGCGGCCATAGGTTCTTCGCTGGGCGATCCTGAATGAGAAGTATTTGGCCTCGTCGGGCGGAGCGCCGTGGCGGCGAGAGGAGAAGGGAGGGGTTTACAGGAACGCGCAAACGTGCTGGGATGGGACGACGACGAGTGCAACGCTATTTGCACTAATCTTTACAGGGGGGTAGGGTTAATGAGTAGATTAGCCACGGTCTCGCAGAGAGGAGTTGGGCCAGCCATTATAGTTTTCGGGGTGACTGAGAACGAAGGGGAATCTCCGTCCTTTGGCAAAGGTGGTGGATATGGCGAGAATGCTGTGTAGATTCTCTTAGGGTCAGTATCGCATTATGAATAACAAAGGAAGCTTTCATTGTGACAGGGTTGCTGTGGCTGGCTGGGCATTTGGTCAGTCGTGATGCCGGCGTTGTGCTTGTTGAGCCCATCCATGAAGAGAGGCCGTCCGAAGTAGATCGATGTTTTTGCTTTGAAGGAAGCAATACCACAGTGTGAAGTTGTAAAGTGGGAATCATATCATTAGAGCAGCCGATTTGCATTTGTTTGTTGATAGTTTGAAGTATGTTGATAGTTTTGAAGTACTAGTAAGGAATCAGTCCGTCTCCGTTAGATGATAACGCGCAGTGCGTGTGAGCGGAAATAGATCAAGGGTTGAACGAGATAGCCTTTAGAAAGAGTACTTTCGGGAAGAGATCGAGTAGTCTGAGACCGATTTAATCCAGTAAATGACTAGCACAGCCATGAAATCACTTTTTTCGTGGAAATACTTCGCCTTGACCTCTCGTTTCTACAATACTTGCAGATTTAACTCAGGGATAATCTCGATGTTGGCAGCTTATAGACAGTGGTGATCGATAGATCGTTTTTTTTCAAATAAAGGTGCGCAGACGATTTGTTCTCGTTTCTTTTTTTAATACATAAAGGTGCGCAGACGCTGACCAGGTGGTGTTTGCTTGGGCTGTGAAAGCGGTCGCCACCTTTTTTCGCAGGTGACTTGGCCCGAAAAGGAGATCGATCTCTCGGCAATTTCTACGAGTGCATTTGAGTGCGTTTGATAGTTACGCGCCCTCGCGAGCGAGACACACACACACACACACACACACACACACACACACACACACACACACGCACGCAGAGAGAGAGAGAGAGAGAGAGAGAGAGAGAGAGAGAGAGAGAGAGAGAGATGGGGAATGTACATGGCTGTCTGTGTATCGTGTGTATTGGACAGTCGGAGGTGGGATTGATTGAGAAATGGGGGAAGTACGTCAGACCGGCACCTCCTGGGCTTCACGTGATCAACTATTGTGAGGGAGAGTGGCTGAAGGGCACGCTTTCTATGAGAATACAGCAGCTTGAAGTGAAATGCTTGACGAAGACGAAGGTGAGTTGCGGACTTGAAGCGATGACCACCCTTTGTACGCCCGTATTAGCCTCTCCCTTTCTGCTACTGAAGACCTCAGCTCCTGCTATCTGTGTCTAAGGTGACTAGTCTTATTTATCCCGCATACGCACATACATATTACATAATATAATAAAGGTATTTATCGTCAAAGCGCGAGTCGTCAGCTCGCGCTGATTACGTCCCTGCCCTTTGTATACAGCCCCCGTCGCTCCTACCGATTGAATGGTCCGCTAAAGTGTCCGGATCGCGGTGATCCCGGCGGTGTGTCCGGATCGCGATGATCCCAGTGATGTGTCCGGGTTGCGGTGATCCCGGTGGTTTGCTGCTGGGGGTGGTGTGAGAAAGTTTATTGATCCTTATCATTTAGAGGGGAGGGAAAAGTTTATGTAGCGTGCGGAAGAATCATTTAAAAAAAACCGTGGAAAGTAAGGGTACCGGCCCATTTAATCCCAGTAAATCGTTTTCTCGACAGAGCGTGGATACGAATATGTAGGTGCTGCCGTCATTTCCCCCTCTCCTGTCGACGCGTTCGGTTACTTTTGGGCAAGTGTTGCTCACGCGTATCTGCTGCTGACAAAGCCGTGGATGTGCGCGTATGTATGCGTGTAAGAGTAACCAATATCACTTTTTGGTTATTACCACCATCATTAGAGGTACATGGGACGCAGTTGGAGAAAAACGTTGTGCGCCTTCGTGTATGGCTGCGCCGCTCTGTGTGTGTGTGTGTGTGTGTGTGTGTGTGTGTGTGCGCGTGTGTAGGTTGTGCTTTTTATAGAGATTGATTGGCAGGTAAATGGCTAATACTTGGGAATGCAGAACTTCGGAAGGGAGGGGTCCGGAGCGGAAAGAGGAGACGCGCGATGTGTCAATCCAAAGCACAATCTTTGCTTTACGCGTGTCCATCGACGGATTGTAAAAACAGCTCAAAGGAGTGGCGACTGGATTTCAGTGCGCCAGAAATTTGGCAGCTGCTCGTGACGGGTCCCAGGGAGACCTATGATCGATTGAGTGGTATGGGGCCTGGTCTCTATCAGCAGAGAAGATAGGATTTACTACCGGAATCTGGACGTGTTTGTGGAGAGAGGCAGGAAGTTGCTATTGATTGATCTGGTTTCCTGCACTTAGCGCAAAACACATCCGGATTCAGGAATGTAATCCAATCCTCTTTGCTAGTGGGACCAGGCCCGTAGTGATTTTTGAGGCGAGGAAAGAAACGGAAATTTTTGTAATCTATTCCCAACGCAATTTCGCGGCTTCTTTTTCATCCTGAGCTGTCGTTCAAGTCGCTCTTCTCATAAGATCATGACTCCGTAACTGAAAGTTGTGATGTATGACGTGTTCTTGGTTCCGATCCTCCTCCTCCTCAGTCCATTATGGGCCGCGCTCCACCACTCGCGAAATGCACAAAAGACAAAAAATATGGTCGTGTATATTATTCCCTTGTTCCACCGGAGGATTCTTTCCCATTTTTTGCATTTGGTAAGAGGTGGTGCGAGGCCCTATATATAACTTCGCAACCGGAAAATGTGACATATTACTAGTATGTGTTCTTGCTTCCGATCCTTCAAGTTTTTACCAGGTAAAGTATAATAGTAATATACTGCGCGGACAAAAAAAAACACATGTGAATGGGTCTCGCGCCACAATTCTCCATTGGACTCGATTTCCGAGAGCGAATGGAGAGTTGTCAGAATGGAGAAACACGGGCTAAAAAGCAACAGCCCTTGGTCCACCAACTCTCTCCTTTGCACATTAGAACAACACTCCGTTCAATTTTTTTTTTATTATTTTTTTTTGAGCACATACACAACGGTCCCAACGTTGGACCCGCTTTCCGAAAAAGGAGGCCAGTCGAGACGTCCGACAGTGGGCTCTCCCATTTTGGAGAGTGTGCATGCTGCCCTCGAAAGAATCTTTCTGAGGACTCACCTCTCTTTTTCTCAGGTTTGAAATGGGGTCTCGCTCCACTACTCTCGTCGACATGCACAAAGGGCAAAAATCATGGCGGTGTATCTTTCCATGTTTTAGCGGAAGATTCACTCTCGTTTTGCACATTTCGAGAGTCGTGGAGCGAGCCCATAGAGAGTTTGTGGAGCGGAGCCACACTCTCGGATAACGTAGAATGGAGAATGGTGGATCGAGACCCAGTGTGGCATATTTTGCTTATGCGAGTATTGTTAACTAGCCAGTGAGGCGTTCTTTGTGGGAGTTTTGCCGGATGGTTGCCTACTTTCTTCCCCCGAACACAACGCACCCTCATTTTCGCTGCATCTGGCCGGAAATATAACTCGTATACATTCAATTTTAGAGTGCGTTATGTTTGGGGGAAGACGGTAGCCTCTCATTTTGTGAGCTTCCTTTTCGTGAGGGCAACCATCTGGAGCGTTACGTCTGGGCCCAAAACGAGAGTAGGCACACTGATGTTCCGCTTGTTGATGATCGCCCTGAAGTAAGTAGTAGTAATGTGACGGAAAAACTCACAAAATCAGCTTTTTAATTCAAAGCATTCTCCACCACTTCTTCAGGGCGATCAACAACAACAAGCGGAACGAAACCTGATGTCCCAACCTCATCTCCCCAATTTCGACCACAAGGGTATAAAAGAAAAGGTTGTCGTGGCCAACGATCGCCCTAATTCAGTCTTATATTGTTTATTAGTCGAGCTGCTCGGATGAGGTCTCGTCGTTTGCACGAAAACGTGGTGGAAATGCTTTGAAGATCGCTGTGGACAGCCGGTTAGGCACACGTAACACTATGCGGTGACAGGGCTATCGGATGGTGGTGGTCCTGTCCAGGTATCTGGGTCCGATGAATCGTACCCAGAGGATCGGGAGATCAGTGCTCTGTTTTAAGACTCTGATGGTTCGCACAGGACTGCCAGAGAATCCTTGCCGAGCTGCCGCGATCTGATCATACTACGAGTTGGTGCGAAATCCACGAAAGTCGCTTGTGGGGTCGTTCCTCTGACGGGCGTGAACGTTGGAATCATCTGATGGACAGCCGTATGCGCTGACTGGTATTGTTTCTTCAGACGTCCATTGTGATGATGATGATGATGATGATGATGATGGCAGGATCTCCTCCTACTGCTTCTGCTGCTGCTGTTTGGTGGGTAACCTCTTGTTAGTGGACACAGTTGTTTCGTTATCGTCGAGTGGTTGATGCTGGATCTCGGTGCTGGCTTTACTCTCCGCATTGATTTACAGGTTAGGATCGGTCTATGGGAACACATGCTGTAACCTACTGTTCGCATGTTTCCTTGACTTCTGTCGCTCCCTTCTTTATGTTGGGGCCGAGTCACCCGTAAACTCCACTCAAGGTATGGCCCCTTTCGGATCGGCGGAGAAGGGCCGGTGGTTCTTTTTTTTTCTTTTTTTTTTATTATTAATATCGTGTGGTCTGATGGACCACGGATCAGATATTAAACTAATCAGAACAGATACTGCACTTGATCTTAGCCAAAAGGCCGAGAAAGGTATTGGGGCCGGTGGTTCATTGATGGGTCTCATCCTTTTTTTTGTTGGGGGCGAGTCACCCGTAAACTCCGCGCAAGGTAGCCTCTTTCGGATCGGGAAAAATGGCCAGTGGTTCGTTGATGGCCCTGATGCATGGAGGAAGTCAAATTCATATTTGCTAAGCTGGTAAAATGCTGGCCAATGTTGCCGGCTGATGCTGCCGGGATAACTCCGGGTTGAATTGTGAGGTCCCCGGCCTCGGTTCAAGTGATGTTTTGAAATGAAATTGGATTAAAAGATAAAAATGCACCCAATGTTCAAGTGCTGGCCAATATCGAGCTTCTTTAAGTGTATGATGCGTCTGCGTTTAGACCTTCGATCAGGATTGCTAATCCGATCCGCTTCTGAACCAGACTGATTGGAACCAGGAGGGCCAGCTTCAGATCAGATGTGGACCCGATGTCGGCCCAAATTGTACCAGATTTGGGGTAAAATGCACCCAATGCATGCCGTATCGAGCTTCTTTAAGTGTATGATGCGTCCGTCTAGACCTTCAATCAGGATTGCTGATTCGATCCGCTTTCGGACCAGATCAATTGGAACCAGGAGGACCAGCTTTGGATCAGATGCGGGACCCGGTGTCGGCCCAAATTGTACCAGATTGATTTGGGCTAGAATCGTGGGAGGTTAGCCCAGAGTACTAGAAGGATGTTGCCCAATGCGTGACGAGTGCATCCTGTGCCAAAAAGGTCGTTGATCGGCATGGGTGCAGGATCAGAGCTCCAAACTAAAGAAATGGAATGAGCCTTTTCACTAGTGGAGGTCAGACTCGTCAGACCATCAGGCGGTGAAATGCGGAAGAAGTGGTCTGTGATGGAAAGCTTCAGGCTGCGACGTACGAGGCCGTGAAATCCCGACAAAAACGTTTTTTCACAGGCTGACTGAAACAGAAGCGTGGATATATCTAGTAGTACCTTATGCACTATTTATGCGTTCATTATTGGTTCGTATGGTCCGCTGCACACTGGTTACCAGCCAGCAAACGGCAACGCCTGAGGTCATGCATGGCCTGCCAGGGTTCTATTTTAACTGGGCAACTTAGACGGTGCGCAGGCAGTCTACAGGTTGCTGGTCTTGGTGGAGTTTGATACGATTCAAAAGGAGTGTGATACGATTCACGTACGTGTACGAGACTTTTTGCTTTTTAGTTCTCTTTGGGGTCTCGCTTGTTCTCTTTGCCAACCGAAAGGTTCGTTAGGGCCTCGCTCCACTACTCGCCACCATGCACAAAAGACAAAAATATGGGGGTGTATCTTCCCGGACCTACTGCCAGTGGAGGATTCGTTCTCATTTTGCACAATGTCATTTGGTGAGTAGTGGAGCGAGGCCCTTAGACTGTCGAAATCCAGTTATGTGAAAGCCCACCTACACATGCGCGGATAAGGGGGAGGGAATAGAGGGAAGGTAGAAAGGAGAGGGGTTCCAAGGGGACACTCAATTTGGCCCCGGGGGGTGGGGTGGGAG